AAAAAATTGGGTTAGCTATTTCACAATCACTTGCATAAAAAACACATTGATTCGCCTGACGTAACATTTCAATATTGTACAATTTTTGTGCGATTTTTTTTAATACATAAACCACCGCGTTATAAATTGGGTAGATGCGAGAGGTAATTCAGGTCAATTTTCATTGCCTCGCTATTTCAAAAAAGATACTTTACCTAGTTTAATGCTCCTGTATAATTTTTCTTGCATGTGCATCACGATAAAACAGCTGGAAATTAGCAGCTTGAATTTAAAATTCTTTAAATCTTCTTTGTTTGACATTTTAAGATGACTTTTTAAAACCTCCAAGTTATTCATTCCGGAATTTTCTCATCCAATCAACAACTTTTTTTTTAAGAAACGCCTTTATTCAATATTGAACATTTCCGACAAAAAAATTCGACCTACCTACCGGCGCAATATTTCGTAAAGTGAATAGAAAGACGGCAAACAAACTCCGTTTTAAAAACGGCCTTACGGGTTTTGCACAGGAGAGTTTTTGTTTTGTTTTTTTTTCTTGAGGAGGCGTTTTTACGTCGCTTTTACCTTATTGACTTTAGACGCGTCTTTTAACGTTACGTCATAATAGAGATAAGGGAGGTTTTTGCTTGGCGCGTCACATATTTGTATTGTTTGAAGTTTTCATGATACCACTTATTGAAATTATTGATTTTACCCAAACCATATTTAAAAGATGGTTATTGATTATCATGCGCGAAAGACAAAAATAACCATTGTACAATTAGAGACATGTTATGATTTAAAAACAAAACTCCACAATGAATCTTTTTTTCATCAATCCAAACTTAATGAATTTTAAATATTAAACACTGGGTGAAAAGTCCAGTTTCCACAAAACTGAAACTATATGGAAACCTTGCTGAAACTTGGCGTTGAAATTTCCTGTATGGTTTCCGCAATGCGGAAACTATATAATAGTTTCAGCAAGTTTCTGTAGGGTTTCCGTATGCTGAAACTATTAGGTTTGTTTCCAAATAGTTTCCGCAAAACGGAAACCAATGTAAAGTTTAATGGAATGTCAATTTAACGATACTTTTTAGTTTCAGTAGGTTTCAGTTTCCGGAAACTATTGATTTCGATTCCATATGGTTTCCGCATGCTGAAACCGAACTGAAACTTTTTCTTTTCTTTTTTTTTCAAATGGGTAAAAAATCAACTCAAATGATTTTTTTACTATTGATTTCGATTCCATATGGTTTCCGCATGCTGAAACCGAACTGAAACTTTTTCTATTATTTTTTTTTTCAAAAGGGTAGAAAAATCAACTCATATTATCTTTACTATTGATTTTGATTCTGGTATGTGGTATGGTTCTGGTATTCTGTATGGTTTTTGCATGCTGAAACCGAACTGAAACTGCTTTTTATTATATATATTTTTTTTTCAAAAGGGTAGAAAAATCAACTCATATCTTATTTTTATTTACTTATACATTTTAAAAAATGGTTTCATTTTTAAATATCTACTAGTTCATATTCAGATTTTGAGATGTGCTCTGTGTAAACTTACGCATACCGATATTGATATCAATGATAAGCACTTTATACAAGATCCTTGCTTCATATTAATTTATTTCATATTGTGCCGGAATAAAAAAATATCATTTCTAAACAGGATTTTCTACATTACCCAACTCGAGACTTCCCCTCGGGAATTAATTCTTTTCATAACATACATTATTTTCACAAAATATTACTTCCGTATGAGAACAAATCAAAAGGTTATATATGGAGGTTCCTCTGTCTACAATTACATTCAATGTTAATTTGTTTAAAAAAGAAAATTAGTGTGTCTTCATGGTGCATGAAATACAGATAATTACGAGAGCGAACGTTTACATTATCTGATAGCAAGTTTTGCATTTTTTCCCTTTACATGTATCTATATTCCTGAATGGATATCATTTCAATAATTCAATTTGTTACCAACAAATACTGACTAGGAAGCCTTTTTTTTACTATTCAGTGTTCGACATAAGATACATAGTGCAATAGTTACTTGTTTTATTTATAATTACATTGATCATGTTTATTTAATATCTACATATATGTATTTTTATCTCCGTTCTCATGAATACATTTTATTCGTTTAACAGGCGTTAACCTTATTCGAAAGCCGTGGGTAAATATTGCAAGAAAACATGTCCTGAACATTTGATGCCATGGTTCTTAAGATCTGCAGCATATTATGTCAATCTAATTAAAATTAAATCGTCTCATTTGTTACCCAAATGCTTATTCGCACGAAGAAGACTTATTAATGTAAAAAGTCTGTTTTTGTGAAACAATACCCTGGGAGCGAATGGAAAATCTCACTTAATTACATTGCATATTATGTGTAGGCTTTTTTATTTATTTATTTTTTCAAATATCTTGCTTTCGTGATGTTAATTAATGCAATATTACTGAAAACGCGGTACCTTTACTTTATAGTAATATGTTCAATTATATTCGTATTGAGATGTATAATGTGCTAAATTTGTGATTTAGAAAACACTTTTTTTTTAATAAAAGTAGTATGTAAGTTGATCAAATTTTCAATCCTTTTCTTTGAACCCCACTCGCGGGCACCTGTCCTCACGTGCCACAGGTGGGGAGACACGTGTCGCGAAGACACCTGCTACCGTGTTGGTGTATTTTTTGTATATTCTATGTGGATTGAGAGGTTTTTCTACCTTAGAGGAACAATGGGCTGTGACCAGACGTAATATATACATGCAGTACATGGTATACACAGTATAGTCACTAGTAATTACCCCAAGGTGTCTGAATTCAAATTTTAAAAATTCAAAAAAAAAAAAAAACAAAACAAAACCACACACTCTATATAAATAAAACTTCACCTAAAATCAAACAAATAAGATTGTTTTATAAAATATTTTATATAAAATGTTTCATATAAGCTATTATGTTTATTATGTGTTGGTGATTAAAAGAAGAAAAAAAAGGGAAAACCTCTAAGATATTTATCTATAGATCAATCTAATAAATAATAAAACTAATTTACAGGTAAGGAGAATATTTGCTAGTTCATTAGACTATTTTAAAAAATTCAGTATTATTTTACAATTTCTCCACAAAGAAATCGGCAATCACAAAGAAATCGACAATTAATGGTATTCCTTGTTTGCCACCATTGTAAACTTCAAATATTGAAAATATTTAGAGATCGATGACACGCAACCTAATGAAAACAAAGTCTATGAATTTTATTTCATAACTTTTTTCTGTAGGTTATTTGTAAGTACACAATAAAACAACGTTTTATTTCTAATTTAGAGTCCAAAACAGAAAAGTGTGAGGTTATTACAATAATAAGGAAAAGATAAAAAAAAAAGAAAAGATAAATACATTTAGTAAACAACAATATACATGACATGTGTAAAGGACTATGACTACTATTACATATATCATTTATAAATTTGCTCTTTTGTATTGAGTAATAACCAATAATTTTTTGTTCATCATCTTATGCTGAGAAGTAGCGCTATTTACTATAAATGGAATGAATTTTTTTTCTTTGATGATCATCTTTTTTACATGACCGTGTTATAAAAAATGAATTTTGATTATCATTTATACTGTTGGAATTACATCTACATAATCGATCTTCTCGAGAAATATTGGTAAATCTGGCCACTTCAATTTCTAACCTGTGACAGGAAATTCTTAGTTAACATATAGACTTAATTGTACATGTAGATATTTTCTGAGATGGAAATCTTTAACAATTGATTAATAATTCTTATAACCCCAATTTTGCTTTTGAGTTTCACAAAGGTATAAAAAGCAATACCAGAGAGAGAGAGAGAGAGAAAGAGAGAGAGAGAGAGAGACTCATACAACACATTCTAATATACGAGTAGTTTGTAATTTTTTTCTTCGTTTTATTTAAGTTACGAAGGTCAAGAATTAATCATTATATAATTCACTATATGACAATGATTATAAACTTACATGTACTTTGTTAATTTATCTATTCTATTTTAGGACACAAATAAAAATGTATCCCATAGATTAAGACTTTTAAAAAATATATAAACATGAATTTGCAGACTTGTGATAAAGTTTTAACCAGCTAGTTCGTATCGCTTACTAGAAGGGGGGGGGGGGTTACATGTAAAATCGCTCTTGTTTGTGGATAATATGCCATCAACATAACTATGTTGACTTGTATACGTTTTTTTTACATAATAATCTATGTAGGTATATGATTTTCAATCTATTTGTAAAAATCTGGACAGTCCGTTTCAACAATTACATGATAATCATGATAATAAGGGACTTTAAATACGGTTTTATACCCCACATCGATTCCATGATCAATTTTATTTAAGCATTTAAAACTGTTCATTCTGTTGTCATAAATGCAAGGACGTCTGAAATTAAAACGTAAATAAAATATTGCCAAAAGAGAAATGCAAAAACTAAGGTGAATTTTCGGTAGAGACTGACATTCAATCACTAGGTGGCGTATCGCGATAGAATGCTTCTCTCTCATTGGTTAGATTTTTAGTAGAAGAAAGAGGGACAAAATGGCGAAGAAAACACCAAGAACTTGCTCAAGAAAAACAACAGAGATGAGAAGATCTTTTGACTCTACACAGAAGAAAGGCACCTCAAACGACATATTAGATACAGGTAGTTATTTTTTACACTTCAGAGCACCTTTATTTTTGTTTTTATTGACTGCAATCGTAAGAATAAAGTTTGGTCAAAACGGCGCGTTCCAAAAATTCAAATTGACCATTGTACAGTTATAATTATTTTGAAAAAGCGCCTTGTAAATCATTCTCAGCTTAGGTTGTGATACGTATAATTAATTAATTGCTGTTAAAACGGCCGCATGCATTTTGTACCATTGTATTTATCTTGCTTGTTTTCGTATGATTATTAGAAATGTTTTTCTGTATCGTCCCGATCATGTTTTAAAAAAGAAATACGTGTTGTAGTAATCCGGAATTTTAAATGTAGGTTGGTTTTAGAGGATAATATCGTTATGAACTTGTATCCGGTGTTTACTTTTTCGGAAAATCGAAAGATTTGCCCCCACGCTTATGTTCTTTCAGAAAAGGTGAGCTTTGTTGTTCATTATAACTGCTGGATGTGTTCATTGTTATTCGCAGGAGTAGTTTCTTGAATCCTACATTTATTTTTTGCTGAATTGTATTTATTATTGATGGAAGACTGTGCTGCACAGCCGAGGAAGGGGTTGAATATATTTTTAACATACATGCAGTCTAGAATCGTAAATATTAGACATGTTCGAGGGCATCATGTTGGGAGAATGCCATTGTGTAGTATTGTTTCACTGTGAAATGCCAATTTGTACATGTTGTATAGTCATGAAAGTAAAATTCCCGAGAACTTGCAGATTTTGGGATAGTGAGATAGATTTTGGGAAACATGGGAAAGTGACTTGATAATTTTTAGAATGCCTCACATTATTCAAGTTGAAGTATTTTATTAAGTTTCATACCATACATTATGATTTTGAAACATTGTCGTACGTGAACAAAATAGTTATACACAAAGATACATAAACATCTTTTCTTACAAGGCATAATTATGATTAATTAAAAGTAAAATGTTAAAATGATACTTATTTTAAATTAAGAGATCAATTGTAATTTCATGCTTACACATGTGCATGTTTTGATCTATATGAAACAATTAACACTATTTTAGCAACCTAAAATTTGATTTACCGGTAGTGTGCATGGTGTAATTGTTCATTAGAAATACCATGTTTTTATTGTACGTACCTTGTGTATTAAATGTGGTGCAGTTTCTAAATACATCAGAAATCACAACCATAAAAATGATTCTCTTGATCAGATATGAACAGAACAGTATTTAGGCTTAAAAAAAAAATAAGTTTGTTTCCTGTAACATTCCCAAAAAATCAAGGGTCGGTAGGTCGGAAATTCTTTTTTTTTTTTTTTTTTTTTTTTGCTTATGAATGGTCAAACATCCCCGGACCGAAAATACCAGGTGTTATATTTACAGTGGACACCCAACATGGCATCCAAAATGGCTGCCAAGCGGCAGAAAACGAACTTCAGAAAGTTGTAGGGGGAAACTGTTGTTACAATAATGATTACTCTTTATATTCAAGGTAAATGTACGCTAAGTTGACATATTTTATGTCTCAAATTAAGCTACAAGCTATTTTTTTTTAATTTAATAAATGGAATAAGCTGGTTGATCAAACGAGTTTTGCCATTTGTCAGAAAAAAAAAATCCACCCGGGGATAATTTGAATGGGACGGTCGGGTTACAGGAAACAAACATATTTTTTCTTTAGGCCTTACCTGAAGTATGTATTATGATCTAGAATGTATTATATGTATTGATTCATTATAAGGTCATATACTTGTATTTATTTGTTACCCTTTAGAGAACTTTTTATTAATTAATTTGGACACGTCACCAACACAGTCTCATCCGAGGGACCAGTCTCTATGTACTACACGGATTCAGACCCATGATGTAGGAATCAGCTCTTACTCCCCAACTCTAGGCGTGTCGCTCTAACAACTGTCAATGTGACCCATTATGAAAATTTGACATAATACTTTTATGATCTCTAAATTTTATTGACTTGATAAAATTACTGATACACAAATAAGACTTTTGTAATCTCTCTGTTTATAGCTGTTTACCATTTGCCATATTTCTATCACTAATTAAATCAGTTTTCAACAATGGCCACTGAAGAGTCCTAGTTTTGTCTTATTATACAAATGATTTTCCCTTGATGTAAAATAGAATATTAAATAAAATAAATTATCAAATGAATTATAATTTTGAATCGGAGAACATGGAGAAGGCCTACATATCTTAAACAAACATAATTTAGATGTAGTCTTGCTTTTATGGAAAATTATAACTTATTTCATTTTTCTCACTATCAGATATAATTGCATTTCAAGATCTTGTAATTTGAGGTTGTGATAGCCTGATAGGACTGCCACTTAGAATTAGACCAAAGTGTGACTGTGACAATTTCCAGTCATTTTTTTTTCTTTGTCATGTGTCCTTTGACTCCATTAGAATTTTCACTGCATGTCAGGTGCAAGGAAATGGACATGCAAGTGTTTTTTGGGACTTTTCTGAGCTCATGCTAAAAACAAAAAAGTTATTACTGTACGGTATTGTACTAACTCGATCTATTTTAATTTCAGATATCCATGGAACAAATCATCTGAAAAATAAGAGAGGATGAAAAATACTTCTGTTAAAAAGTATGTTTTAGTAGTAAGAACTTATGTATCTCTATTTTAGGAAATTAAGGACTAAAGCACAAAGCTTATGTTTTTATTTTCTATTGTTTTCTTAATCCCACTGTATAATTTAAAGCTCTCTATTTATCATAGTCAGTGGTTGTCACTGTGTGTGTGTGTTGTGGGGGAGGGGGGTGTAAGCTGCTTTCCTCTACTTTTTAAGCTTTATATAATATCTTTATATGTTCAGCATTTCCATCAAATTAACGGATGTTAACATTTTCTTAGAAAGTCTCATTTTGTGAGCTACCTTCTAAAATTCTGTGATTTATTTAAAATAAGTATTTATAAATAGGCCTATTTTTAGGTCACCTTATTCAGGTGACCTAAACATATGAACATTTTCAGCTTCTTCCTTGCAACCGCTCAACCAATTTCAAAATTTTGGAATTTCAAAATGGCTTTTTTTACTCCTGGACATCAAGCAGTCAAACTGTTGGCATGATTGTAATGAGCACTGAGTCATCTACCATAATTATGAAATTCATGGCCCCAAGGTCAGGGGTTCTAATACTAGGGTTGATCCATATAGCTCTTTGGAATTATTCAACTATTTATGATGAAATAAAACTTAAGATAACATTTAGAAAATTTTGAAATGTGTGGCCCAAGGGTTAGTGGTTCCTGTGGGGTGGGGTACACAACTGGTGGTTTTAAAATGGAATTGCATTTTATCTTTATTACTCTGATCCACCTTTAGTTATTGAGTAACCAAAGTAAGCATGCTAAGTGTATAATTATGATAAACAATGGTGCATCTTTCAAAATTTGGAATTTCATGGCCTTTTGTTTAAAACACGAACCAAATTCAATGGAGTGAAAGTTGTTACATGATACCTATTAGGTCTATGAACCTCTAGTTGTTATTCAAATAAAAAATATTTTGATGAACAAGTAGAATGAAAGAAAATCCCTTAATTTATTCTGAAAATCAGGAACAAATCTATACATACATATTCAGGTACATTTAAATAAATTCAAGTTTGTTTATTTCATTATCCCTAGTCAAGTGTTTAAAAGAGGCAACTTTAAGGACAGACGAGACGTTCCTTAATAATAGATCAATTTTTCTAGGAGTTTGTCATTGAAGTATTGTTACTTAAACATGTTTACTCACAAAAAATTGAGGTACCTTACCAAGCATTTCTGCAAGATACCACGGGTAGTTTTTCTTATATAATCCTTTGGGGAAGAAAAATAATTTTCCAGTTTCAAATGTTTAAGGGTTTGGATTTTTTAAAAACGTTTAGAAACTGGTTTAGAAATAAGAATGTTATTAGAATTTTGAATATTTTTCATACATTATGAAGATGTACAAAACAGATTTTGAGGAACGTCTTAATGATATTTTACACATGATAAATTTTAAGATTTCATTTTAAATCATTCTGATAAAAATCAAAGTACTCAAAAGTACAGAGAGCCGGGCTCATTTACAGAGTATAATGGATTTTTTACATGAATCACGTTTATGTTCTGATGAAAAATTATTTCAAAACTATCAATAAAAATGATAAGACTCTGACAGTGAGTTTTTCAATCTTGATCTGATACCGCAGCTGAATGTAAACAAACAGGCCAGTCTGGTTCCCTCTCCTGCTTTACCTCGTTTGTGTAGAGAACTATGGTAACAATGATTATCAAAAATCCTTATGCCAATAAACTATGTTCTTTGACTTATGAAGTTTTCAAAGTCATTACTACTAATGTTTATTTTATATAGATAAAACTTCGTTTTATTTTTGTTACTTTATTTAGCGTTTGTATTACATGTATCTCAAAAGCGGTTGAGCGTCAGAACTAAATTTTTGCACATAACTTTAAAATAGCGACTATTGGGTTAACATCCTGCCTTGAACAGGATCACATAAGCCGGCAATTGCTCTTTGAGCAATAAGCCCGGCTAAAGATGCTTAAAATGTGAAATTAATCAAGCAAAGGCTTGTACTAGAACAGCAATAGGGACTTTGTCAATACAATTAATATTAAATGTTAGATACTGCCTAAATCTAACAACATCCTGTAGAGTCACGTCAGAGGTCAAATTCTATTAACCAATCTTATAGTCAACTGCAAAATTATTGTTTTTCATATATTGGAATGAATAAGTCTAGAGTTGTTCCGTATTTGACATCTGACGTGACCTTCTATGGGATGTTGTTAGATGTTCTGTAGCGAGTATGCGAGAGGATCTAACATGTTGTTTTATTTAGACTGGGATTTTGTTAAACTATATTTATATATATTATCAATAGGTTGAAGTAACTGATGAGCAGATCAATCCAACTTGAACATGATATCATTTCTCCAAGGATGAAAACAAGTCTCTCTGTACTCAAGCATTGATATTTTTAAAGTCGACTGAAACTGGAACAGGTCATACATGCAGACTACAGTGATGTGTTGCACAGTTCCGAAAACATGCAGCCACCACTAGCATAAGCATGATAAGTGTAAGTGGGTCATCAAAAAATGAGAACTACTCAAGGACTTTTCTGTTGGTTGATGATGGACTACAAACTGAATTTTAAACAAAGGAATCCACCTTGGTGCTTATTGGCTACTTTTGATGTGAACTTGTGCATTTATTATACCAAGTAATTTTACATTTCCTTGATTATACTAGACTTGCATAAACCGAATTCAGGTTTAGTTGATTTATTGAAGTAATGCAGTTCTAAGTTCCTCTCGCAAGATTATATCTCTGATGTATGAGACATCATTAATTGCAGATTTTCTCTGTCCCCCTGTCGTGACTTGAGGGCTCGGACTTAGCTGTAAAAATGTTTATGATGCAAGAGAAAATAAATGTTCAACCCGATGTATGTAAATGTTGATAATAACATAAAAATATTCTTTGATAACTAGTGTTAGTGTGTTGTTGTTTTTTCCAATATGAGAATTCAGAGGGAAAATGACTTTTGTTTGAAAACCAGGGCTAAATTGTGTAGTCAATACTACAGTTTCCGTTGCGGAAACCTATAGTATACCCTATGTATATCAATATTGTAAACGCATACTGAAACCTTGCGTATACCTCAAGTTTCAGCAAGTTTCTTTTGCGGAAACCATTGGTAAACCATATGTATTTCAACCGTATACGCATACTGAAACCTTGCGTATACATCAAGTTTCAGTTGCGGAAACCTATGGTACACCATATGTATTTCAACAGTATACGCATGCTGAAACCTTGCGTATACCTCAAGTTTCAGCAAGTTTCAGTTGCGGAAACTATTTGGATTCGTGGACACCTTTGGTTTCCGCACTGCGGAAACTTGATGAAACTTGAAGTTTCCGCACTGAAACTTTGCAGAAACTATTAGTAACCTTAAGTTTCCGCAGAGTTTCAGTAGAGTTTCAGCCATGCGGAAACTGTATTTTTCATCCAGTGAAATAATGTTGGTTAAAATTCCTGAATAGATACGAGACACCGTTTATTAATGTCTTGATGCCAAATTTATAATTAAAAGAATCGAATCTTACCTTTTGAAATACTTTCACTACCATAGCTTGTGAATTTCGCAGGTGGTAGATCACACAATCCCCATACCTTAATCCTAATAAAAGCTACCGAATAATTTCCTTCAAATGGTCCAGCGAACACAGATCCACCTAAAACGTAATAAATAAAAAAAGAACCCATCATTGATGCTATAAACATTACTAGTATATAATTATATATATTCTACATACATGTATTTCTGATATGGGTAAAAAGATTAAATATTTCTAAATGTTTGTCAATTTTGTCTATTTTCTTCTGTTTTAATGTATGTACCCCCAATTTTCTATTTTTACCTTCAGCATAAGAATTTGCAGCTTATTTACTTCTATTTCCTACAACGGAGTTTAAAGTTTGACTAAATCTTTTTAATTTGAACTTCTTTTGAAATAATAATTTAAATTCATATGTTCGCTGTATCGTTGTTTTGTTCAAATGAACTCTACGTCTAGCTCCCATAAACAGCTTATGATTTTAGAAGTTTATACTGTCAATATCCTTCATAAAAAACAATTTACAATCATGCATTCACGAAAATAGATTCATCTTGTTAAAATAGAATTGGATATCATTCCTTTTTTCATTTACAAAATCTTCCTTGTGTTAAAATATCTAGCCCATGCTGTCATTAAGGTTTAAAATTTCAGGCTTTATTTTTGCCCCATTATATCTTATATTATTTGAATTAACAATTAAAAAATTATCGTTTTTAAAACAAAGCAGTAAAATATCCTTGATTAAACTTTTACCTGTGAATATAAGTACTCCCTTGTTCGAATGGTTATTCCTCACAGGTACAAATATTTTTACATGATTTTCATTGTAAATATAAACAACACCACCGTAGATGTTGTCACTGTCATCGTCTCTTTGTGCTGATCCGTATGCAGGGAAAATGACGTCATATCCGTTTTCTTGAATTTTTACCTGCACCTCAACTTTTGCAGGCATTTGTTCTAATGGATGTTGAATGTGAACTGGACTAGATTTTTGTGACTCAACTTGAATCCAGTCGTTGATGTATACAGAATATACGCAACATTCTAATGCTAAAAAAAAGAAGTGAAACACAAATAATCAACAAACAAAAAGTGAGAATTAAGTAAAATGTTATATTTTTTATTAATGCAGAATATCAAAAAACAACGTTATTTAGTTTCTTTAACGTTAAAAGAAGTATGACTTGTACAGTTCCAAAATATCGCAGAAAGAAAAAATGCAGTATTGTATTCAGTTTACACTTACAAAACATCTTAATATTTAGCAAATTGATTATTGAGCCCGTAATTTTATTTTTTTATCTTTTGCGTATTTTTTTCCACAAATTGAATGTACAGTAGGCATGCGTTCTAATATCGCATTCACTGTAAAAAGAAAGTGAACAAATGTATATAATACTATAGAGTGTTAATCGTCTCTACTAATAAGATATTTTTTGGCATTTGATTCTTTACATATAAACTTCATATCAGAAATATATTGAACATTTAATTATTTCTGTCATTTGCAAACACAAAATAGCCATCTCGCGAAAAAAAAACCGCAAACATTTCATCATCAAAAGTACCTCTAATGTTCTAATCAAATTTCGATCTTTCCCCCATAGAAAGATTGATATTTTCAATGTACATCTCCACATCTTACCTGTCATATACATAGTTTCAGAAATATTTCATTGATAAATGTATGCTCACAAATATCAAATATTAGTATTCAGTCAAAATCCACAATCTCTTTCCATTTATCTTTGTTAATGAAACGGCATTTAATAAAAAAAAAAGATATCTAGCTTTCTTACACTTCATTGGTTTTTTTTTTTAATTAAAATAAGTAATGAGAAGTTGCTTTCTCTTATTTGAATAAACTGTAACTATTTGGTTTAACTCGGTTATAGATTTTAAATACATTTTTTTATATTTTTATATAAAATTGGATAAACATGCTGGTAACATGTCTTACAGCAAACGTTTTCGTTACTCGTAAAGTGTTGGCCGTTTATATATAGAGATGCAATTTTACATTCTTCTACTGAAAATCGCTGTGAATAGCTAATGTCACCTACCAATTAGTATATTTTGGACAGTTTTAATTTTATATGCATTTAATAGTTTGAAAATTTTAACCATAAGAACATGATGAAATAATCAAAAATTAACTTACTCGCTAGAAAGAAGAATAATCCTTTCATTATGTTTATTTTATTTTACATTGTTTCTTTTTCAAAGAACAACCCACTGATATCCGAGAATACAAAACGTGACGATCGGAGGCGGGAAAAAAGATTCTAAGTCATGTGATCTGGATTAAATTTTTATTTTTTCTTGGGTATTGATTAACTATCATAAAATGCATATAGACATTGACAGTTGTTAAATATTGATTAATGTACTTGAGGCAGATGTAACATTTTTTTATTTATAAATGAGTTGAAATACCATTTGATCTATATATATTATTATAACAGTAACTTGATCCGAAGGGTCGTATCACGTCGAGTTGACAGGCGCGGATCATCAGATCTAACGAGACGCGAAGCATCGAGTTTGATCTGATGATCCGCGCCAGACAACGAGACGTGATAGGGCTCTTCGGATCAAGTTACTGTTATAATGATAAATTTATTATATACCCCCTTATAACTAGCTAAATATAGCAGAATAAAACTTTGGAGATCAATTGTATAATATTTATCCATAAAACAAAGCATAATAACAAGGGAATCTTTAACGCCCAAAAAAATAACGTCATGTTTTTGCGTACTACGTCATCAGTTTCAGAGAGTGGTGATATGGATTCAAAAAACCACAGTGCGGTGATCCGGAAAATCGGATCAAACTCTGTAAAATTAACAGTAACAAAAACAACGAAATTGATGGGTATATAATAAAAGGTATTATTATTCTTTTTTGTGTAATGTCGATACGAGAGGAAATTCAAGTTTAGTATCTATCAGGTTTCCTAAAGTAATCATGATACACGATTCCAAAAAGCAATAACCATCTGTCCGTTATGCTTTATTTGGGATACCCATCTCTTATCCGCAACTACTTTTATACAAATGAGTGAAATCTTAATTTTGACTTTCTCAAAATTTTTGTTTTATAGTGCCATTATGCACATCCTATTTTACATTGCGATCGGACATACATTTTGGGTTTCCAAAGGCAAAACATGAATACTGCCATACATTCTATAATAGGAAAGAATTCCATCTCTTATCTGCCACTCCTCCAATAAAATCTTTAAATATTTTTACAGATTCTTTATAACATATTGCCATTCTGCACTTTCTATATTTACTTTTTGATCTGACACTTATTTTGGGTCTCTCCGAGGAAAATGAAATTTGTCATTATAAAATATGGAAGGCGGGATACCATTTACTGATCATGAGCTGATTTATCAACCTCTAAATTCCCTTACAAAGATACTGTAAACCAAGTTTTACTCGCGTGAGAAACATATCCGCGAGTTTCGCGACGTACTTAAACTCGAGAATATTTATCGCTGCGAACCAAGTATTTTGCTTTGTATTTGTAGAGAATGTTTCTTAGGTCACGAA